ATTTGTTACTCATTTGTAAACAATAGTAAACGTAAATAATTAGTTCTTGAATTGATCTCGATGAAATGTCTAAAATATCATGTTATCCATGTAACAGAGACTTGGAATTAATTCTGGCCAATGAAATTACTAGATTACTAACTTGTAAAATTTTTACAGGTCAGCTGTCAGATTTACAAGTCAGTAGCGTTTAAACAAGACGTTTACCCGTTTGCGTTTTGCCTTGTTAATCAATGTTTACAACTGAGCAACAAATAATAGTAATTATACACCAAGGTAGAGAAGTTGATTTTCTTAACCGAGCGGTATTATTTCCCGAGGCGCCGAGGGAAATAAGAAGCGAGGCGATGAAAAGTCTTCTCTACCGTGGTTTATATATTATTTTATTCACTACTAGCAGATGAACTGTTTTAACACATATTTAAATATCATTAGAAAACACGATTTTGGCGATTTTAAGTACCTATAAGTAGGTACTTTTACAAGAAGGCTGTGACTTTGACACCACATTATTTGTAAGTCGCATTTTGCGTCTTTCGCTAATTTCTGTTAAATAAATATGGATAGTGAATTTTCGTGCACTCCTCCAGACATACGAGAGGCAGCAAAAAGCGTGGCCGCTAACGACCTCTTGCCTGAAAAATCAAAACATAATAAAATTTATTTAAATTTTAAAGAGTGGTGTCAAACAAAATGTGTTTCACAAGTTGGTGAAAATGTTATGTTGGTGTATTTCGCAGAATATCGCGTACAATAATTGTGTGATTAATTATAATTTTCAAAAGTAAGTTCTTTAAGTTCTGTTCAGTTCAATAAAATCCTTGTTTACTTCGTTGACATAACGTAGAACGATAGAGTTATTTATTTATTGCCTCTAACTATGGCAACCCAAATGTCAAATTCATTACCTCCTACTAGGAGAGAAATAATCCACGAGGTAGAGAAAAATAAAATCTAGCATCGAATACCAGCCTACTAATTATACATTTTAATGCTAGTAGTGAATAAAATAGTACAGAGGCCATTATATGCAAAACTTGCTATTTGCTCGGAAGCTATTTTTTGGGAAATCGAAAAAAATGTATGTGTCGATTAGTGTTTTTCGCGCAAAGTAACTTTTCTTATTTATGTTGCATAGAGTTTTTAGGAAAGGAATTTAAAAGTTTTCAGCCTAAAATATTTACAGTTTAAATAGAAAATAATGTTTATTGCAAATAACCAGTTTTAAAAATAAATATCTAAGATAAATTAAAACTATCTTTAGATTAATGAGAAACTTGAAGGAGTTATTCGTACAAGTAACAGTTTTGCATTTTTAAACAAAAAAATAACTCAAAATACTTAATGCTCACAAAAAAAAGGAATCATTCTCGACATTTTGGCAACGGTCCGCATCAACGTTTTCTTCTGGTGGGGCATTACCTTTTTCGAAGAGCTCTTTGTAAAAGTGTAGTTCAGGAAGACTTCTCCAATTTTCTCCGTAGTGTTTGGAAAGAAGGTTGTTAATAGTGCCTTTATCCCCCCTTAGTTCTTTTCCCAGTGTTAATTTCTTAGGAGCCATTGATGACAGAGAGAAATTTTTTTTACAAACGCTATTAGCTTTTCCAACGTCAGTGCAGTAATTAGGTTCACCTTGGATTAGAATATTTTTCTCTTTTTTGTAAAAAATAAACCTTTTTGCTTTATTAAATTCCAAGTGCCATGAACTAGGCAGCTTGATAGCTCGTTTTGTCTGTGTTCTCCAATCAAACAGATCCCAGTCGATACCGATCTTCCGTATGGTGGAATGTTTCCTGATTAAATCATCGTACCCACTAACTTCCACAATAACTGAAATTTTTAGCTTCCTAGCATGTGCTAGGTAGCTATTGCGATAGCCGTTTTTTGAACATTTCAAAATTTCATCAAATGTCGACGTTTTAGACCATTTTAAGCAACTTTTAAAGAATAAAATTTTTTTCCGTCTGTATGTACGTACGTACGTTTGTTGGCAAATTTCTGAGAAAACGGCTCGACGGATTTTGTTAAAATTTTGTATATATGTTTTAGGCATACCGAACAGAAAAATAACGGGCCGGATTTTTGAAAAAAAATTTTGGAGCGCCGTAACGGCATCGAACTTTTTTTTCAAATAGCAACCTAAAATTTTTATTCTATTATTTGGAAGACCTTATTTTCCTGTGTACAACCTACAAAAAATTGGGCCGGGTTATATTATCAAAAAACGGAGACAAAAATTGTCAAAGTCAAAAATTGTGTTGCATATGTGCAAAACGCAACGATCTTGTTTCTGAAGCAATTTAAACGAAATTTCTATGGTAAGTCCCTTTAATAAAAGCGAACAAAATTCATGCGCAAAAATCGTGTTGCGCATGCGCAGAAATGCAATTTTCTTATTTATGGAACAATTAAAACGAAATTTGGATGGTAGGTCCTCCTAATAAAAGAAAACAAAATGCATGCGCAAAAATCGAGTTGCGCATGTGCAACATCCAACTTTCTTATTTATGGAGCAATTTTAACGAAAATTGGATGGTAGGTCCCTCTAATAAAAGCAAACAAAATGCATGCGCAAAATCGTGTTGCGCATGCGCAGAAATGCAACTTTCTTATTTATGGAACAATTTTAACGAAATTTAGATGGTAGGTCCTTTTAATAAAAGCTAACAAAATGCATGCGCAAAAAATAGTGTTGCGCATGTGCAACATCCAACTTTCTTATTTATGGAGCAATTTTAACGAAAATTGGATGGTAGGTCCCTCTAATAAAAGCAAACAAAATGCATGCGTAAAAAATGCACCTTTCTTATTTTTTCCGTCTGTATGTACGTACGTATGTTTGGTGGCAATTTTCTGAGAAAACGGCTCGACGGATTTTGTTCAAATTTCGGATATGTATATTAGGCATACCGAACAGAAAAATAACGGGCTGGATTTTTGAAAAAAAAAATTTTTTCCCGTCTGTAAGTGCGTACATACAGGGTGATTCCTATAGTACCTGCCACCATTTGGGAGCGTGTAGGTGGTGCGTAGGGGAGTATTTTGATATAGGACACTTGGGGTCGGAAGTCTAAAATAAGGGTGCCAGAGCCAAATTTACCTTCTGGAATTTCGCGCCTGTAGGTAGGCAACCCAACCGGCCGGCGGTGCACACGGAGCGATCTCAGCCGGCGATGTGTGGCTGACACTTGATCAGAATTTTGTTTAAACCCACGAAATCCCGTCTGCAACGACGCGTATCAAGTGAATAAACACTATGCCAATAGTATAATAATAGTTGGCTAGATGTAGGAAGTGCATTGAGAACAACGGTGGCCACGTTGAACACTTGTAAACGTTATTGCTTTTGACTGTCGTTTTCCCTCCTTCCCTCCCATGTCGCTTCCTCGCGCTTAACTCGCTCTGCATCGCTCCGCGCGAAACGTCGGTCGGTTGGGTTGCCTACATACAGGCGTGAAATTCCAGAAGATAAATTTGGTTCTGGCGGCCTTATTTTAGATTTCCGACCCCAAGTGTCCTATATCAAAATACTCCCCTAGGCACCCCCTATACGCTCCCAAACGGTGGCAGGTACTATAGGAATCACCCTGTATGTTGCCAATTTTTGGTTTCAGCTAGGAAGCTATTCTGTCAAGAATTTGACACCTGGTTTCCGTCTGTATGTACGTACGTACGTACGTACGTTTGTTGGCAATTTTCTGAGAAAACGGCTCGACGGATTTTGTTGAAATTTTGTATATATGTTTTAGGCATACCGAACAGAAAAATAACGGGCCGGATTTTTGAAAAAAAATTTGGAAGCGCCGTAACGGCATCGAACTTTTTTTTTCAAATAGCAACCTAAAATTTTTATTCTATTATTTGGAAGACCTTATTTTCCTGTGTACAACCTACAAAAAATTCGGCCGGGTTATATTATCAAAAAACGGAGAAAAAAATTGTCAAAGTCAAAAAATTGTGTTGCATATGTGCAAAACGCAACGATCTTGTTTCTGAAGCAATTTAAACGAAATTTGGAAGGTAGGTCCCTCTAATAAATGCAAACAAAATGCATGCGTAAAAATGCACCTTTCTTATTTTTTCCGTCTGTATGTACGTACGTACGTTTGTTGGCAATTTTCTGAGAAAACGGCTCGACGGATTTTGTTCAAATTTCGGATATGTATATTAGGCATACCGAACAGAAAAATAACGGACTGGATTTTTGAAAAAAAATTTTGGAGCGCCGCAATGGCATCAAACTTTTTTTTCCAAATAGTAACCTGAAATTTTTATTGAGTTATTTGGAAGATCTTATCTTCCTGTGTACAACCTACAAAAATTGTGTCGGGTTTTATTACCAAAAAATGTTTCAAAACCCACTCGTGGGTATTGCCGCGTAACACATTGTAAATGATGAGTAATGGGCAAATATAGACCATAGCAGCTATCAATTAGCGAAAATCTGAAGTCTCTTGGTGACCCAGGGGCCGAGATCTCGATGGAACAGACGGACGGACATAGACAGACAGACGAAAACACAAGCACATAAGCGTTACCTCAACATCGTTGTGATACACTAAAAAGTTGGCATTGCGCAGTTTGCGCGCATATGCACACTTGATTTTTACGATTTGCGATATGTTGCCATTACTAGAAGCATCTGTGGTTAAAATTTCAAAGAAATATCTCCACAAATAAGAAAGTTGGCAAATATGGAGTTCAGTAAAACTGTGGGAAATGGGCGACCATAACAGCTATCAACTAGCGAAAACCGGAAGTCTCTAGGTGGCCGAGATCTCGATGGAACAGACGGACAGACAGACAAAAACACGAGTACTTCGTTGTGTTACGCTAAAAACTGAGAAAAAATGTCAAAGTTAATTAAACTTATGTCTTATTATCTCACGCGCTTCACAAGAACTGCACAACGAAATGAAAACATCGATGCTCGTGCGATTGCTGAAGTTAAGCAACGACAAATACGGTCAGTCGTTGGATGGGTGACCGCGATGTATTAACCGCTTTCTTTTGCTACGGATTTTACGATCCAAGCACGTTATGTCGCATTCAGATCAAATGAACGCGTTCTTTTGCCAATACGATCAATCCCCCCTTAACCTCGTTTTCGGAACGCGATCCGCATTCCCCTTTCCGCCCCAAATCAAAGTTTCAAACAGATTCAACGGATTCAATCGCAATTTTCTAACCTTACTTTTTATTTCTTGTTTATTTGCAAAAATTGTTGCATTTGCCAAAATGTGCTCCGGAAGTGGAAACTTAACATTAAGCTTACAAGAGGCAGATGTTGTTTATGATATTGTTGTATCCCAGGAGGATTATAATCTCGCCACAACAGGTTTTAATTAAATGAAAAATGTCAATAATTACAATTTTAATGCTTTTAGATATGATTTTTGCCCAAGAATTACTAAATAACCATAAGGAAACTTTGCAAAACACTGTAGTGGAAAAGTCACCAGAAGAAAGGTACCTTACACCCAGTACTTCTACATATAGTGAAGATTCACAGTCAAGCGAAGCATCTTGGTCTGATGCCGAAACACTATTGTTGATATCTTTATATCATGAAAATAAAGATGCCTTTACGAATGCAAAAAAACGGAAGCATGTTTGGGAAATAATAGCGGAGCAAATGTCTGCACATAATTATTTTGTAAGAAATTGGTAACATCGTAAATGATAAATGTGTAATATAATTCTTTTAGCGCAAACCCGAAAAGTTGGAAAGGAAGTGGACCAATTTACTACGGGTATACAGGTCTATAAAAGATAACAAGGGCCCCAAGAAAAGTGGAAGGGGGGCACAACATTATAAATATTATAACCATATTGACGAAATTATTGGCGATAAGCCATCAAATACCTCTGAACCACAAGCTGTTATTAATGTAGGCATCAATAGGACAACAGTCCCTGCATGCAGATACTGACAAAGAAGAGAATATAGAGAGTGAAGGAACAAGCGGTACATCTACCCCAACACAATCAATTAATGAAACACCATTAAAGAAGCGTAAGGTATATAACTTGGCAACGGAAAGGTTGAAACGAAAAGAGGTGCGCCATAAGGAAAGAATGGAATTGGAAAAAGCAAAAATTAAACTAGAAGAAAAAAAAGTTACTTTATTGGAAAAATATTTAAAGATAATGGCAAACGAACAAGATTCACAATAAGTTTTTTTTTATGTTAAAAGAATTGATAATAAGTTTCTTAAGATTTATTTAGCTGTGTTTATGTTATTAGATATTAGTTTATTATATTATACAGTTTCCATAAATATATCGTCATTAAAATCTTTACGCATTTGGCATATATTGTGTAACACGCAAGATGCCCCTATACAATTTATTATGAAACTTGTCGTAAGATTATCAAATTTTTGAAGCCTCCTGAAACGACCTTTTAAATGACCATACGCATTTTCGACCACAATTCTAGTGCTAGAGTGCCGGTAATTAAAATCTTTATCATCATTACTTAGATGACCATTATCCTTTTTTGGAGTACTCAACCAGTCTAAAGCAGGGTATGCAGAATCTCCTATTAATTTGTATTTGCCATAAAACAAGTCTGCAGGATTTTCTGTTGCTGTTTTATATAAGGCAGAACGTCGAAAAACCCTAGCATCATGCATAGATCCAGGCTCTCCTACATAAATGTCAATAAATACCATTTTGCTATTTACAACCCCTTGCATAATGATGCTATGGTATCCTTTCCTGTTACAATAATCTTCAGGGGGAACTTTAGGTCTATTAATTCTAAAATGGGTTCCATCTATGGCTCCAATTACATTACTTATATTTTTCTTTTTTTCAAAGCTTATAGATTCATCAACAGCTTTAACATCAGTAGGCCACTTTATATAGTCACCACTAATCCTAATAAGATATTCCGTAACAACTTTTACAGTACCATGTGCACAACTTAATGTGACATCAAACCTGTCCCCAATTTGTCGGAAAGTTTCAATGTTAGCCAAGTACCACACAGTCAATAACACTGTCTTGGTACTAGTAACACGAGGCCAACCACCCTGTTTGAGTGAGACATTAGGATCATAGCGTTCAATTAATGTGGAAATACTAGTTCGGTCCATTCTAAAATGACTTTTAAAGTCATCCACTGTATAATTCAGAACTATTGCTTCAACATAATCCTTAATTCTTATGTGATTGTCCCTTTCATCATCGTCACTACTATTACTACTTGAAGTACTCATTGCATCCATTTGGGGTTAACAATTGATCCTAAAGGTGAAATAAACGATAGTCAGGAATGTAATAAATAATAATGGTTTGTTACCAAAACAAATTTGTTAATATCCATCTGGTTTATTTACTAACCTAACAAATAAAAAATGTCAGACGTGAATTACGTTCTTTTGCAACTGATTCTATCGCAAATAACCCAACCTTACAAAATCATGTTCTTTTGATTTTTTTACGTTCAGAAGTTGCGATCGGAACTGCACTGATCTGGATTCAAAATCCAAAAGCAAAAGAAAGCACCTATTGTCTCGTTTTATTAAATTTTTTTTTTTGAATAGTAATCCACATTTTTTATTTTAAAGAGATTTTTGGATTTATTTTTTTAACGCCGTGACCTCATACAAATGTTTTTTTTCCAAATAATAACTCTCATTTTTTTATTAACGAGCAAAGTGGAGTGGAGACTTCCTTTTTTTGTTTAATCTACAAAATTATGCATTTTTCCGAAATATCTAAAATTTTAATTTACCGCACATCATTTTATGTCTTAATTATACGCATTTCATTTCTACGGTTGGCGCGTTCTGACTTTACGTGTATGATGTGTTGCCTAACCATAATGACAACACTTCTAGTTTAATACTTGGAGTTTAATGCGCACTGCCAAGGTCACGATTTGTGCAGTGTAAGCGCCAAGCAGTGTGGTGAAACGCATGTGGTTTATTTATGGTGAAACGAAGGTCTGTGTAAGTTGTAATATTGCGCAATTCAATTTTTGTTTTTAGTGTTTTAGTAGGCCTTAGCCATTAAGAAATTTATTGAGCATTTCGGTAACCAGTATTAATTCCATTGGGCATTCAGCATCGGTGGACGGTGTGAGATCAGAGAGGATTCAGTTGCCTCAAAACCAAATGTAAGTATTTGTATGTATCTATTAAACTATCCTTATATTTTAGTTTATAGATTACCCTTGCTATTGCTTACTGAAAAAAAAAGCTATTGAAATTCAATATATAGGTAGCCCACTTTTTTTTTATTGATATGGAATTAAAATAAAAAGGGGTTGCGATAGTAACCTTTCTTATATCATTAGAAACATATGCACAAATTTTCATAACGATTCGACGTTTCTAAACAGAATTATCAATCACAGGAACGAATAGACGAACGGACAGATAGACACAGGCAGCAGGCAGCAAAACAAAATTAGAAGCGACCTCGAGAATAGTTCTGTTAATGAACAGCAAAAATGTAAATTTATGGTACATGAAAAAAAAGATTTTTTAATATCTTTTGAATAATAAACGCAAAAAAAACCTTCCTTAGTATAAGTCTCGACACCATAACAAACCAAATAGCGAGAAAAGTAGAACAATATCTTAAGATGTAGTAGCCACAGCCGAAGGACGGACAGTGGGCACAATAGCGCATTTTGTGGGGACCAAACATTCTCACACCTCTCAGATCAGACCACTAATCCTGCATACCCTAAAGCCGAATCTAAAAGTATCCTTGCTTCGATCATTAATAAAGAATATACCACGAAGCAAACGGATATCACTATGGGACAAAATATTGTAAAAGGAAAATTACCAAGCATCGCTACCCTACGGTTGTTTATTCACCATATCGCTTGTATATAAACATGACATGTCTAGGTAAAAAATGTCATCAGCCATTCTAAACAAACGTAGCGATCCTCGGTAATTTTCTGTTTCTACCCCAAGATGACGTCGCACGCGTGACGTGTGCTTTTTTAATGTTTTATATTTGCTTCAGTTAATCTGCAACAAGGCGTATTTTGATTATTTCATGATCGAAGTATTCTTGAATATTTGCTAATAATTGTGATGTTACCTACGTAATTTTATTTTCCCGTCTGTAAGTGCGTACATATGTTGGCAATTTTTGGTTTCAGCTAGGAAGCTATTCTGTCAAGAATTTGACACCTGGTTTTAATGTCTTTCTCTATAAGGCCGAAGACGCGATCAGGTGGAATAAAGGAATGACCAACGATTGGGAAAATCAATTCAATTTGCTTAATATGTTTCGACGATTCTTCTAGGAGCCAGTAAGCTAACATAGCCATCATATTCGTATTTTTGTTTTGTCCACCGCAACCGTCAGCGAACAAACGTACTGTTTCAATGCTGGGGTCAAAATCAAAACTCTTCAAGGTATGATTCAAAGCTGATGCTATTGTATTAGAATCTTTTCGGGAATCAATTTCTGTCCACAAGTAAGAAAACACATTTCTTGGTGTTAGTTTATCTCTAGAAGTCATCAGACGCTAGTGGTGAAAAAAAGATTTTTTTCACTACTAGCGTCTCATGACATGATTATTAACCTTTTTTCCACTTGTAAAGTAGGTTTTCTCGGCATTTGTTCAAAGTGGTTAATAATTTTTTATTATTAACTAGTAGTCAATAATGAGAACTGTTACGCTGTCACTTTTAGAAAACACAACCCGAAATTTCGCTCAATGAACGTTTAGACAAGTTCTCTAAAACGAATAATTGCCACCATTCGCAATTTCCAGAGAAATTACATACCTACCTAAAATTATCACATTTTGAAAAAATTCGAACGAAATTACTCTTTGAAAAATCTCAATGACAAAACAAAATACGGCCTGTTTGACTTGTAGTTCCACGTACTTGATTGACATGTTAAATTAAGAAACAAACAATTCTGTCCAACCGTTAACTCTCTTATCAATATAATATGTTAATTTAGAGGATTTCAAGTGCTAGTAGTGAAAAAAATAGTATATATACCACGGTAGAGAAGTCTATTATTGCCTTCGCACCTTACACCCCTCGGCGCAAGCGCCTCGAGATGTAATCTTGGTGCTCAGGCAATAATAGTGGACTTCTCTACCTTGATATATAATGTACTATTATGTACGAGTGCTTGATAATGCGGTGATTACTGTCGCAATTAGTGGCCATAATTTGCAATATTATGGCATAGTCCATAATGATAAAGTAAAACGGCCGCCTGTCAATGTGACAGTCGTACTTAGGTGTCCATCCAAGATAAATTCAAGTATTTTAGAAATACTTGACATCTGTTGTCAATGATATATAGATTTTATCGTTTATTGAATTCCATGAAATTTCCGTTTTTAAGGGTTGTTGCAATCGTACATAAAGCTTTGTATATATCGCGTCCATAAATAGGCTTTATGGGGGCTCGCCTTGTTTATTTATGTGTCGCTCGCAAGCTCGCTCGGCTAAATAAACGGCTCGTCCATAAAGACACAGTTTATGTACTATATATATAAATAGCTATTATTAAGATAAGTTGAAGTAGGTTAACAAAATAACTATAAAAACATACAAAATATAAAACAGATATTATTCACAATACTAAATTTAGTGATTATATTGAGACAAGGCCGTATGAATTACCTTTATCCTCAATGTATGGATTTTCAGGGTTTGAGCATTCATTATAAACATAACTGGTTCAAGCATAATCGTAACCTCATGATGTAGCTGGAGAAGCTGCTACAGACAAATAAGACGAATGTGCTCCTTTTCCAAGATTTGATTTTAACCGTTGCTGTACAAGATATGATTGTATGTATGCCATTGATTCAGGGCCGTAGCCAGGGAGGGGCCAGAGCGGGCATTGCCCGCTCTGGGAAATAATCTGCCCGCCCTGATTGAATAGCAATAGAACTGTTTATTTTAATACAAGTACTGACTTGATGCAGAAATAAATCAATAAGATGTAGTCTCGGATGTAGTTCTACATTCCCTAATTTATACGCGGTCAACGTTTATACATAATTTTATTATATATAATGCATCTAGTCGATGAGTCTTCATTCCACAATTTAGTAGTCTACCTAGAGATAAGAGCGTGGAGAAAGCGCGCGCGCCACGCTGCCGCCACCGCACTGGCGGCGACATATTGCGGGTATACTTAATATTGTTCTAGTTCTGTTTGCTGCTGGTATTAGTGGAAAGTGGAGCTACCGGAGCGTCTTCCTAAATTTGTTTTATTTGTACATTGGAAGTGTTAAAATTAAGTTTTTTAGTAAAAAAGGTGTTGCGTACACTACGGAAACACGTGGACAGCTTAGTTCTTTTCATTACAACTCTGTTCTGTTCTGCCGGAGCAATGGATATTAGAAATTTCTTTAAAAAACGAGAGGACGTGTTACAGGAGTTACCCGACGAATCTCCTTCAAAAACTACTGTCGAAACAGTAACTCCTACGACCGCAAATACTGCACAAAACACAACAAACATAGAAGTTCCTCAAGATTTGCCTAAACGTGGGGAACCTATAAAACAAACAAAACTTGTGAATTACCCCAAGACAAATTTTCGTTGTTTTCGATCTGAATGGTATAGTCGATTTAGCTGGTTGTTATATTCAGAGGAACGCGATGCAGCGTACTGTTACGCCTGTATGCAATTTCAGCCACATGGTACTAAAGAAGTTGCATTTACAAGTAGTGGGTTTAAAAATTGGAAAAACGCTCTTGATGTTAGAGGATTTTCTCGGCATGAAAAATCTGAGACTCATATTCGCGCTATGGCACTGTGGACAGAAAGAAATCAAAGAATAAATTCCTGCACGTCAGTATCAACACTTGTCAGCTCTGGAGTTTTAGAAAAGCATCGATACTATATGAAATCAATAATAGAGGTTATACAATTCTTAGTTGTAAACGAATTGGCCTTAAGAGGAAATTACAATTTAGAGGAGCATACGGAAAGGGGTTTGTTCAATAAATTATTTGAGTATACTCTACGGAAGGATAAATTTTTGGCCGAATGCCAAATACATATTCCCCGAAACGCCATTTATACATCACCAGAAATACAAAACGAAATAATTGAAGTAATGGCAGAAATGGTTAGAAGCAATATTACAAATTCTATTAATAACGCGGATGTTAAGTGGTTTACATTACTAGAAGATGGAACCAAAGATAGGAATAATCGTGAAAATGTAGCAATTGGCATTAGGTATGTAAAAGATGGAAAGGTAAGGGAATCGCTTCTCCAAATAATCACCAAAAAAAAATTGGATGCGAACACTTTTACTGCAGAAACGTTAGAAGTCTTACAAAAAAATAATATTGATACAAAGCACTTGCTCAGTCAGTGCTATGATGGAGCCAGTGTTATGAGTGGCAGAGTAGGAGGAGTTGCGGCAAAAATTCAGAACAAACTTCAAAGAACTGTTCCGTATGTCCACTGCTTCAATCACCGACTACACTTAGTTGTAGTAAAAACAGTTTCAGAAATCACAATGCTCAACCACTTTTTTGATCAGTGCATTTTACTCCACGAATTTTTTCATCATGCAAAAGTGGCAGAAATATATGAAGGAAGAACGATCGGTCGTTTGTTAGAACAGCGCTGGTCGGGACATTTAACAGCAGCACAAGTCATTCTATCAAATTATAAAGAAATTTTGAAAACTCTGCAAGTAATTCAGAAAGGGAATTTTAATGGATTTGATGTTGCTAAAAGTACTGGCTTGCAAGTAGTTATTGAAAAAATAGAATTTCGTTTCGCATTGCTACTAGCCAACAAAATATTATCACTTCTACAGGCAGCAGATGCGGCTTTACAAACTCGAACCATTGGACTAACAGCAGCTTTATCCATTATCAAGTCCACTGTTACGGAAATACGTTTGTTAAGAACAGAGAAAAATTATTGTTCCTTATTAGCAGACGCTAAACAACTTCTGCCAGATGCGAATACAGAAAACGAAAACCCATCAATTTCGATGATTACATTGTCACAGAACAACTACCTCATTCAAGTTCAAGCACAAGCTCTGATACTAATCTTAGAAGTGGCTACTATGAAGCAATTGATATGGTATTATCAGAAATGGAAAGACGCTTTGAAGAACACGATGGACTAATTGCGGCTGTTGCGACTGTAGAGGAATTCGATTTTGAAAAGTTGCAATATTTTTCTGGACTAGGTAAAAGTATAAATTTCTTATATTACAAATGCTTACTTATAATTTGTTATTAGGAATCACCATACCCAGTAAAGAAGAATTAGCTGTAGTGCGAAGCTATGTGCAAAAGAAATCTTCGAGCAATGTGTTTGATTTAATTTATGCACATCGAGAAGCCTTTTCAGACACCTATCAACTCCTTGCCGCAGTGGCGACATTTGGATGTAGCACTGCTGCCTGTGAATCGACTTTTTCTACACTCTGGCGGCTATTAATCGTCCGCAACGCTATTCCATGAATCACCAAAGAATGGCCGATTTAGTATTCTTAGCGTTTGAGAAGCACGAAACTGAAGAACTAAATGATGAAGACGTATTGCGAAAATTTAATGCAAGGAAAAATAGAAAGTTTCAGCTATTCTGATTTTAATTTCTAATTTTTGTTGCTTTTATTTTCTTTTCTTGTTCTGGTTTTCGAAATAAAAACTGTTTTTTTGGCTTTTTATGGTTTTATTGTTTTTAAATAAACATTTTGGAGTAAGGAATGCTATTTCAAGGTGTAAGTCCATCCTCCACACCTTCGTGTGAGTGTGATACGTCGTCCCACTACCCGTACCTTCAAATTACGTACTATCACGGAGTTCCGGTCAAATTACTTGCCCTACCTGAAATTGTATTTGCCCGCTCAAGTAATTGTATCTGGCTACGGCCGTGCATTGATTGAAGAGCAACTGCCAAGCTATTGATCTTCCAAAACAATCATCATTTTCATATTCAATATATTCAATATTGGGTTTATGTGTAATGTGTAATGGTGGGTCAATTTCTTGATGCTGCTCCACAGCTTTGTCAGTACTGCTTTTTCTGACTTTTTCATAGCTCTCTTTGGCGCTGCAGTATCCGAAGTAAGCTTCCTTGGAACTGCTGCTTTTACTACAGATGAGTCACTTAGAATGGGGGGGTGCTATCTTATCAACATGTATTGATACTGTCTGTTCTATAAAATCCTCAGTTACAGATTGTTTGTTTTCTAAAAAAAAAACAACAAAATAATGAATTAAAACTTTCACTTCCATTCAGTTGAAAATTACAATGTGTATCAGTATTTCTGTACAGGTTAATTAAAGTTTATTTTTACGTAATTAAAATATCCAGTCGAGATGTAATCACGACTCCCAAGTACGAATGATGTGACTGAATGAGAATGCATTTAAAGGAAAATTGTTTATTTCAGTTTACATTAAACATAAATAATAATCGCGACGTAAATAGAATTGCGTCCACCGTATGTAAATAATGTAAATTAGGGTAAAAAACTGCATAGAAATAACGAGTATTAACGCCGTCCGAGTCATTGTCATTGTCAAGAATTAATTTAGAGCTAGTAGAACGAGTTGAATGCGTCTGTTCCCTACCGCTGCCAAAGTATCAAAAGCTTAATTCACGGACGTTCAAGCTATATATACATGGTGCGAGTTTGCGCGATAAAGCGAATTGCGGTCACATGATACAAACTACGAGAGTATAAATACGGGGATTTCAAGCGCCAAAAGGGAGTTGCTCGCCGCCTTTTTACGGAGCAACATCTATGACAGTCGCGCCCGCAAATTATAAGCGCGGAGTTTCATAATAGAGCGTTAAGGCGACATTTGTAAGAAACGCAAGCAAAAGAACCGAGTGCGGAGTGAAATCATCTCCATCGATCCAGCGTAGAAGAAGGCGAAAACGATTCTTCATGGCACACTGGAGAAAATTGCCAGAGTACCGAAGACGAGTATTCATTATCAATTAATCTATACGCGGTCCGTGTATAGTCCACCTAGAGAGTACCAAAAGAAGTCTAAGAAAAACCAGCCTGCCTGTAATTGGCCTAGCTGAAAATCGAATAGCAGCCTGCAGTGGGCGGTCCTAATTCATTCGACTTCCACATCGATCGAAGAGACCAAGTTATCCTCCAAGTCCTGGTGCACCGATAAATAAACTAAAGGTATTTATAAATGCTATACAAATAATATCGCGTTGTCTTTCGTTGTGGTTTACTCCATTGTCGTTTATTTATAGAACATTAGTCTAAAGCGGTGTCATTGTAAAGGCGATTTAATTACCTACTAGTGTTGCATTCAAATCAGTGCTTAATCAGCACTGTTTGTGTTCATTTTAACGACTCGAGCCTGGAGGCGTTACTACGCATTTACAGCAGTTTTGTTTTGATTTTCGTAGGTAATTGCACAAGTGCATCAAAATTACCGATAATTTTTTTGAAAGCATGTTGTCTAAAAACTGCATGAGTTTATTTTCATATTTTGGCGAAATATGAAAATGACCGAATGCAGTTTTTTACTGACAACATGCTTAAATAAAAAATTATCAGGTTTATTTTGATGCACGAGTGTAATTTAGGGGAATATTTCCCGAACAAGCAATACTTGTCAAACTGACCTTACCTACTTATAAATTGTCGGTGTATTGTGAAATTGTCCAAAGCAGTTGCCAGTTGCCATGGATATGGACAGTGCAATTATCGCAGGGCTCTTTCGCTTTCTACAGTGCAATTATCGCTGTAATTGAGCGATAATTGCACACCTCATATGGCATTTATGACATATGAGGGAAATATTCGATTAAATTGTATGATAATTTATGAAATACGAATTAATTTTCTTTCTTTACTCAGCGGTTTTAGAGTAAATACTTTGATTTGAATTCACGTAGTAAATACAAATTTTCCTTTCTATGCAGTGACTTTTTGTGAATGAATGAGTTAACTTTACTTTTACAGGAGTGTACCGCCCCATCCCCATTTCTCTTTATATGTGTTATTTACAGTTAAAAGGTGATTTTCTAAGAGAAAGGAACATAACAGGTTTTAATAAAGATTATTGATTTTTATTCACTTATCCTGTCCCCTTTCCGTGAGGCCAGAAGAATCATCGACTGAAGCTAGCCGGCGCCCAACAACCATTATTTTATGTCAAGAAGAACTACCCCAAAATGAAATATTTTGAGAAGAGACGGTAAGGAGAGTTGAAAAGTAACCAGCCGGTTACAAATGTGATCAATTCAGTATGTTTTCAGTTACCGAGCACTGAAGATGCAATTTCCCAAATTGTGCAGGTGCCATTGACGGAAAACATATCGTCTTGCGCACTCCTTTCCATTCCGGCTCTGAATTTTACATTATAAAGGCACCTTTAGTGTAACATTACTGGCATTAGTTAACGAACAGTACTGTTTTCAGTATATAGACGTGGGTGCTAACGGAAGAGCATCTGATGGAGGTGTATTTTCAAAATGCAGTTTGAAGTGTGCAATTGAAAATAATTCATTAAACATTCCTCAATTAAATAACGGTCAACCAACAAACGTCAAAATGTCACTAACAAACACCAACAAACGATTGCAATAAAAATATTCTGAAAATTGCAAGTGTGGGGGGCTAATTTGACACCGGTTCAATGAATAGTGCGATTTGATATGTTTTGCTTACGCATAAGGCAACGCCACCAATTAGGTACCCACGCAGGGCACGTGAGGTGAGATAATAGGGGGACTGGCTACAGCAGTGTGGGGGGGGGGGGCTCCGGCCTTCCCTAAAAAGACATAGCTACGCCACTGGAGGTAGTTACGATAAACTAAGTAAATTATATTTGTCATTCTCTCCCATTTTATTCCAGCTGACATCGAATAGCCATATCCAAAAAAAGAGACCGTTGTGAGAAATAACTGTACAACCATATGTAATCGCGGAAGTAGTTCAAACAGAAGTCAAGCAAGTAATGGAAGTGGTAAACAATAACATTTACATAGTTCCGTGACTAAAGAAAGCGATAGACGTATGTTTCCATTTCTTCATTGTTCTGTTACAGGCCGAAATGTGCTTGTAACGAAATTTAGAAGCGAAGGCTCGGTAGCTCAGGCAAGATAGGCGAGTGGGCGTAGGCCATCGCATACAAATGAGGGAAAAAGATGATATTTATAAGGGCGCCACTATATTTACGGCCACGCAATGAATCTTACCGTATCAAATATAGAAATATACCAAAGACACAGGTAAAACACTACTGATTGTTAATAATAAAATCACACATCGACCCTCAAAATAATTTTTAATACTGCACACTGGTTCTACCAGCCACAAAATTAATTCAAAACTATAGTATAGTATTATCGTATACTAATCTTCTCAAACAAATATATATTTCACAAGGAATAACCATAGCCAAAAGGCTCGCAATACTGCCCTGCTAAGCACAGAGGGGGTATCTACAACAGAGGTAAACTTGAGAAATGGAGGTCTAAAGTTGTATGTTATCCATTTTTGCTTTTGTATAGGCTTAATATATCAAATCATAGTTATTCAATTAAAAATTGTTTCGCCTATTTGAAACCAACGTTTTGTAACTATAAACCTTCATTTATAATTATAACTGCATTTACAACTGACCAAAAAATTAAACCAATGTTGGAATACTAAGATCATTTAGCGTAAGTACAAAAAACTAGAATTGCTAAGTAGTATCTGCGTACTTACGGTTGAATTGGTTTAGTAAATACACATGTAACCAAGTTTCCTGAGTATTTTATTGTCCGAAATAGAGGGAATAGTCTATAATAGACAAAGTAGGGAGCTATTTTTAAGGGAGGTCAAAATTGACTCATATATAACGATTTGTAAATGTATAAAAATAATACAAATAATTAGGAAATGAAGCAAAATGATTAAGATCGTACATCACTAAAATAAAATGAAATACCATGGTAGTACTAAAAAAAACTAATTTATTAAAACATACGAAACACACCCAAATACTAAGCTAGAGATAAGGTTACAGCATGATAGCCTAATTAAACGTGCGAGTAGAATAACAAAACTTCCCATCTGTAATCGATAGTCCTACTTAGTGCACTAACTAGTTGTCACCTGGCCTCTCTGGTAGATTTTCCCAAAACGGAAACCGGTTTTCTGGTATAATAGCTTTTTTCCCATGAACTAGTTCTTTCAAAATGGAGGTTTTTCTTTTATGTGAAATTCCTATCGGCATTTCGTGTGCTGGTGGGACCTTCAAACCTTTTTTTAAAGTTGTAGCATTAAGAAAATGAAGTTCTTTCCAATCGTCATTCTCATTAAAAGAACTTTTATAATACAGATTCATTTTACCCCTGATCGCCTTTATTTGATTCATTTCCTTTAAATAAGGCAAAGGTTCCTTTGCATCAGAACATTCAACAGATGAGTGTTTTTTCTTTGTATTAGGTGTCGTATTATTTTTCTTTTTGGTAGTTCTTTTAATGCTGCAGTCTACCCATTGAAAAAAGTCGCTTGGTTTCATCTCAGCTACTGCAACTTTTGAAGAGGCACTTTGAACACATTTTTTAAAATCCTCGAAGTCATACACTTTCTTGAATTGTTGTAATGATTTTTCTACCCTATGGTGAAACGAATCCGCCGACATAAAACTGTGTCCTGTTTCAAAGTATTTTATGTGGATTGTATCAGCAGATATTTCAGTTGAGTTGACACAAAAAACAAGATGTGTAAGAAATGCCCAGTTTTTGTTCTGCGAGGAACAATTGTCCATCCACAGAATTATGGTTTTAACATCACGTCCTTCAGTTAAAAAAAATTTGTATGCAGTGCTAATTAGCTCTTCTTTATTCCTTCCCCGAATTGCATCGTGCCATACACATGCCACCGTTGGACGTTTCGATTTGGTCCCAACAGGAACAAAACATTCATTATATACAGTTAGCCTTGTGGTAAAAATGACATTTTTGAACATGTCACATCTTGGTAGCATTATGACTTTTTGCATATCGACAGAGTAAATAATTTCATCTTCATTTGATACCTTAGCGGAGTCATTCTTGTAGTCTTGTCTTGCAGCACCAGCATTCTTAATGTGAGAATCGTAGATTTTGCAAGTTTCACAGTTCTCAATTTGTACGTTTTCTTTGTTGTGCTCATGTAGGTTAAAATGTTCACATAGTTCGCATTGTTCATGACCAAGTTTCACAAACGAGATGTTTAACTTTGATACCTCACTTCTATACAGATCATAAGAACATTTAAAATTTTGATGCTTTTTTACAAAATCTTCGTGCATTTTTGTAATGGTTAAGTCGCTTGGTAAATACCTACGGTTAGGCGCATGCTCACGCCTGTAGTGAGAAATTGAGGGTTCAAAAGATTCGATGTGTTTTACAATAACCTCATGATCAACTTTGTTTGCTGGAATGCGCCCTTTCCTTTTATCATGACTGGATGAAATGTTGGTCGTTTGCTTAGAAAGGCTCTGCAAGATTTTGTCATTATTTTTTTCATAGCCTAATGTAGCTAAGAAAAACGTCTTGCACACGCGTAGTGAGGTACCATCCGCATTTTTTAGAAAATACTCATTGGTAAAAGAACGCCTTGAGTTTGGACTGCATGTTGTTCGTCTGGTTACCGGCTTTTTGCTTACGGAACTCAGAACAAATGTTTTCTTTTCCTGTGTTGTAGGAAGACACCAATACTGTTTATTAATCTCTTTTCGTCGTTCAGGAGTTATAATTGAAGAGCATTTGACTTTGCAGGTAACTGGACATGATTGTTTTACATTGTGCCCCTCCATTGCTTTTCTTTTCTTAATTGTATTCCTTTCGGTTCGCGACAACAAATATTTCTTTCTCTTTCTTGGGTTTCCAGTCTTGGTAAGTCCACAATCAATTTCTAATTGAGCTTCCGGTATTGGATCACTAGGGGTTTCAGGAACAACCTTATTTACAGTAGGATTATCTGATGTAACTTCAGTTTCTGCTCCTAATTCAATTGGATTAACACTCGGACTAACATTAATACTGATACATACCATTGTTGAAATTTTGGTTATCCTCAGCTGAAGAAATGCAAGGTTGATTAATTGTACGTATTTCATCGAAAGGTAACTGAAGACCATCTATCTGAATACCATCAACATCTATTTCAGTCTCAATATAGTCAATAACTGGATCCAAATATCCGTTATCGTTAATTATATATATGCCATCAGGTATAACTGCTGCTGCACTGGTGGTAGGCGCAGAAACACACAAATCACTATCGCCTAATAAATGATCAGTTTCCGTATCTTTAGCTTCAGATAGATTAAAATCATTACGAGGATCGTTGGAGTTGCCTTGATGAAGGTTTGCGTTGTTGGAGGCGGTATTAGCTTTTGAAGTACTTGTCACCGTAGCCGTTTTCAACTTTTCTCGTTGATCAATACACAAACTCACTAAATGTTTACCTCGTGAAGCCATCAGTTAAACCAACAATGTAAATGTAACGAAGTGAATTTATTATTAATTATAATAATAATACTCAGAAACACAGTCACTGACGCTGCCTGATATGCACTTATTAATTTACTGCAGCTGTTTATTAAGGTTAAAAATGACGTCCACTTACTAGAGTATAATGGGGGCAAGTGATACTTTACTAAAGCAAAAAATGTAGTATGTGACGTTTGCTAAGGCAAAACGCCTTATCTGCAGTAGTTACGGCTGCAGTTGTCTAGTAATCTGTACTTACTCCCAAAGCCTTTAGTAATTCAAGCAAAAAAGGTAGTTACGGCTAACGAAATACGCATGTTTGTTAATATTCAGGCGAAGATACAACTATAATACCTTAGTATTAGGCACATTAAACCGCAAGGAGTCACTTGGCATCGATTTCTCAATTTCCCCAAAAATTGCAGTTACCCCCTTTGTGCTTAGTAGGGCAGAATAGCAAACTCAGCCTCTAATTAGATAGGCAACTCAAATCTCTTTGTCTAAAAGTTAATTTACTTCAGCGTACCTACGCGAAGTCAATTAAACACAAATAAAAATACAAGTTATGGTACCACTACCCAAAGTCTATCCAAGTAAAATCCTATACACATAAAAGTAACATAGGTTAATATAAGCTTACCAACAATACCATTCCCATCCAGCGAGCTCGGTGGACGAGGCTTCCCGTTACATCCATGTCTGAAACACAATCATTACCTGGAACTACCCTAACGAAGTGGCACAAAAGGTCAACATAAATTTTTAAGTTAAGAGAATTGAAGCAAAACTTTGAAACGGAGATTTCGAGTACAAAAAAAAAATGATTTAAATGATTTAACAGGAGCAAAAATTTACAATATTGACAAATTAAACAAGGTTTTCAAATTTCAAGGAATCTCACCAAATAGGAGTTACATTAATGACTATCACATTACAGTTAATCAATTCAAAGTTACGTAGATTTGTAAATAGATAATAAATCGTATTGCAGCGAAATTGTTGGCATACGGCAAACTCGTACTAGATGGCGTCTGGCGACAGTTTATTTGACAGCGACGAATTTCTTCAACACGCCAAAATTACAGCAAATAACAGAAGTCGAATGTTATCCCACGTAGAAGTAACACGATACCACGAAGATGTAACCAAATCCAATCAGCAAGTAACCCCAATACGCCAAACGATACACCACCGGCACCAGCCAAACAGCTGCATAAAATTAGTTATTTTAGAAATCACGAATCCCTTCGAAGTAATCCACAAAGATTATTTTAAAATAGAACTTACCCCTTAACAACGAAGGGCAAAGTCACAAACTACTGGCCAAACTAATCCTCTTTAAATCCCGAAACGGTATACGTTCTTCAAAAATATACGTCGGTAGAAACTTCTCCTAACGATATTTCACGTATAAATCCCTCCAATCAATGTACAACTGGTAGATGACCACTGAATAATTCAGAACAATTGATTTTACACGAGGTCGAGGACAGTAAACACCAACAACAGTTGTTACTTCTACGGCTTACATCGAAGTGAACGAATTTCCGGTCTACCATGCATACCACCAATGAGATTACAGTAAACCAACCCAGTAAAATAAAATTCCCCAAAAATGACATCTTACACAAATTTAAATGTTACAGTTCTTAACCTAAAATATCCAGTTGAGGCAGAGCATTTATGGTATTTCTTACACTTAGCTGTGTATAAACATAACCTAAATGTTAATGTTCGCGTATACATCGTGTGCACATGACGTCACGAATCAACAGCTGATCGCTCGTAGGACAAACACCTTACTTTTAGCTATACGTTTTGAGCAGTTTTATGCGATTATGCCAAAAAGAATTAAGGTGTAAATGTAATATAGAATAGAATATCTGTATAACTGCGGCTAAAGCAAAAGGCTCGTGTAAGGTCACCCATTTATTATCTTCACAATACATTCATAAAAATATAGTTGCTACATAAACAATGTTGTAAATGACTCAACAATAGTACCCACCTACCTACAACTACAAAAATACAAGCATGCCGTTTTTCCCTGAAAACAATCTCGTTTCGTTTTATTAGTAGCCGTAAGCTTTGTGGGATAATCAAAAATGTTTAGTTTGTCTCAGTTGCACTTTGTGTATTGTAGTTTTCAGTTCTCGTGTATTTCATTTGAAAGATTTTTATTGTTTATGTGCAGACGTTATTTAAAAATAAAGTTAAGTGTGCGACATTGCGACGAAATTTTGATTTTTGTAAACTACGTGCGAAGCGAATTGTATTTACAATGAGTTATAAACATCAGTCGGGAACCACCAAAAGAAAAAAGAGAGAGGAATTAGCACAAAAAATACAAAAGCTTCCCAAAATAACACATTTTCTTCCATTAAGTGCGGCTCCTAGTACTAGTACCAGTGCAAGTAACAATGGTAAAGAAACATTATTTCTATAAATCTAACTGAAAGTTCCAAACAGCAACATGAAATGAGTAGTAAGAGCTTGTATTATTAATACATATCTTTACAGTTAATGTTATTTCATTATAGGGACTGAATTTTCAATACAAGGCCAAGATGATCATATCCCTGAAATTACTGACATGCCAGCTACTTGCTTCCCGAAAACGAATTTGCAAAGAATAAACTATTTAAATAGGTAGTTTTATAATTTGTTTTTCTTAAATTTTGTTAGAATCTTCTTCTGTTGCGGTCGTAAAAAAGTTAGCCAACTATAGTACTGACAAGGGAAATTTTTACTCCATCATCTTAACTTCACAGCTAAAGCGTTACATTATTGAAAATGGTCCTTGCCATTCACGCGGACCTTTTTCCAAGGACATAAGCAACCGAGGAAGTCATATAGAGCCGGTTCTGGACCAGTTGAAGGTAATTCGCCACCTGACCTTGGAAAGTAGATCAAGGTGATTTTCAAAGGTCAAGGTGACCTTTGAAAGTAGGTCAAGTTAAATTTCAAAGGTCAAATGAAGGTGACCTTGGGAAGTAGGTCAAGGTGAATTCCAAAGGTCAAATGAAGGTGACCTTGGGAAGTTGGTCAAGGTTAATTTCAAAGGTCACATTAAGGTGACCTTTGGGCCTCCAACATCGCCACATCAAATTTTAAGTAGTAGGTAGTTAATAATAAGTAGTAGGGGAAAATAGTGCTAGCATGTAAGATTAGAATGTAGGCAGTATTCAATATAGGTAGTATTGTAGAAGTAGCCAATAAATATCGACTGGTCGCAGAAAGTGTGATTCCTTCGGACTCCAAGCGAGTCCGAGCAGGGAGGATAAATCTCATAATATTACATGGCGACCGTGACAGTGTTTTTGTAAGGAATGCAGACACCGTAAAAATGTGCGGCTCAAAATACTCCAAAAATCGCGAGGATGTCGTTATCTAGACGGCCGGTGTAGGGACTAACACCGCGATTAAAGAAACGGAAAAAGAATTGGCGACGACCGAATGGCTGTTGATTACAATGCTGGTGTTACTAGCTGTCGGTATCATATATTTCTTGAAAACATTACAAAAGAGTATATTACGAACGGTTCGTAATGAAATACAAATGCACGAACTAAATGTATCAAGAAATAATATCGACGGTAACTAGCGTGCAGACCCCAAAAATTTTTTCATCTGGACCCAGAACAGGATTTCAGCAAGAAGCAGCACCGCCCCGGTATAGCAACTCAGGTGAAGTGTCGTGATCAAGGGGATAATAATAAATTTAGTGATGTGTTGAGTGAATATTAGGGAGTTTGATGGAAATTACACTTAAGTAACTTAAACGACAATATCAGAACGTTTAGGGACAATTTAAAAAAGGACAATGCAGCACGACGCCAAGATGCGGCGCTGACGGAACGTAAGTTGAAAGAATTGCATAAATTTCGCCGCAATATTTAGCTGTAGACAATTTAACTGATCAGGACATATTTGAAATGGGTGAAAAATTACGTCAAGTGTATGATGACGATATCTCGAATTTATTTTCACATCAATTACTGTCTTTACGTCAATGTTTTCTAAAGGAATTGAAAACCATACAATCCATTAGAGTTATTCAAATTTATTCTTGTTACTAACTTTAAGTCCAGTAGCAGTTTTAGTGAAATAATAACTGCTTGCTTTCTATATTTAAGTATTCCTGTGACTGTGGCGTCCGCAGAACGTTCATTTTCCAAATTAAAATTAATTAAAACATATTTTAGAAATGCAATGTGGAAACAGAATCAAATAGCCCGTTCCTTAGATACATCTGCGCTTATCGATACATTTGCAAGCGCCAAGGTTAGGAAAAAAGCGTTTCAGATTTAAGTTAGATTATAATTGAAATGTCATTAGATTAGATTAGGTTAGGTAAGCAACAACATTTTGTTCCCTTATAAAATTTTTGTTCATCTGGTTCCCAGTTTCCGTCGTTTTGTTATATGTATTATTAATAAACGGTTATTTTGATTGACAATAATTATTATGACATGTACCTATAACTATTTGATATGCATATAAAACCCTGTTAGTGATACCCTTGCAAGTAGGGCCCGGTAGTACTTTGGCGAACACAGGCCCGTAATGACGTTGCTACGGCACTGGTTAGATTTGATTGTATTCCAAGTGCCTATGTATTAAATTTCATTTAAATGCTTTAGTAAATAAGGAAGTTGCCATTAGCCCAGTCAGAATAGGAAAAATAGAGGAACTAAATCATGTAATACTAATTCCTTCGGAAATGTGTAGAAGAAGGTTCCCTGATCAACATATAATAAAGTCCCCCCGACTACCGGCTGTGCTAAAGAGGGGGAGGGTAGTGAGAGCGGCTTTGAAGGTCCCATTAGTTTTTTACTTCAATCCTCTCCTCTCACCCAACCCCATCGCCGTTGAGGGTAAATCCCGCTATGCGGATCGAGTTGGGTAGTACGGTCATGTGTATAATCCACATATTCAATCTTGGTGGGTCAAAAACTTAAAACCGGTGGGTTTTTTTAAGAAAGTGTATAGAATCAAAGTTGTAGCAAATTTAATGAGCTTGTATTTATATGAAAAGAATGTATTTGTAGGACGCACCGTTTTCGAATTGTAAGTAAAAAACTTTAAAATGTGACCATCAAAATCACGGCCTCCCCTCTAGCACACCCGGTAGTCGGGGGGACTTTATTATATGTTAATCAGGGAACCTTCTTCCACACATTTCCGAAGGAATTAGTAATACATGATTTAGTTCCCCTATTTGCCATTTTTTGATCTATTCCTACTGGACTACATTGCGCATGCGCAAAACTAAATAGTGCAACTGGTGTTATGTTTGTCTTTATTCCTGTTAGATATAGTTGGCACATAGAATGTCAAGAAGCACACATGCATGTTAATCCAAGTTAATCGAAAAGACAACGCTTAAACATATTGTGGACGAGTGTACAAGTCGTGAAATAACCAAGCAGCAGGTGCAAGTAATGACTTAGTGCGCTAGTTAGACTACACGGGAACATTGCGGTAGGGGTTGTGTCGGACATAGTGTACGTGACAAGAGTAGGGCAAGGACAGGGTTTTGTCTGGGTTACGGTGGACGAAGTGAACATTTATAGTGTATATCTCCCTCCAAATGACCCGATAGGAGAGTTAGAAAACAGACTCGACGATATGAGGAGCGCCGTCAGAGCAAACGGGGTGGGCCGCGCAATAGTTGCTGGCGATTTTAACGCGGCTTCTGTTACATGGGGAGCGGGTACCACTAATAGAAGAGGGGCTGTAGTTGAAGAATGGGCCGAGGCACTGGGGCTGGTGTGCGCAAATGTAGGAACCACGCCAACCTTTCATGGTAGAGGTAGCGACACCATAATTGATATAACTATGGTCTCCGAAAGGCTGAGAGACACAGTTGTGAGATGGGAGGTTTTAGAAGATGAAACCTTTGAGTGACCATAAAGACGTTCTATGGGAGCTAGAGGGGACCCGTGGCGAAAGGAGTACCCCGGGGAAAACCCGTCGGCTGGAACAGTCGCAGGTTGGATCGTACGACACTGGAAGCCATGCTGAAGGAGGAGACGACGCACACGAACTGGCAAGTACCACAGCTTGTAACTTATCTTCGGAAAGTCTGCGACTATGCCGAGGAGGGGTCGGAGGTCTAACAAATCGGTATATTGGTGGACTGATGAGATTTGCAGACAGCGGCAGGCCTGTGTGACTCTTAGGAGGAAGCTCCAACATCGGCGCAGGGCTGGGCATGATACCTCCGAGGAAGCGGGGAGACTTAGGGAAGAGAGAAAAAAGGCCTTAAAACGGTTGATCTATCAGAGCAAGGATCGGGCATGGAAAGAGGTATGCGACGACCTGGATCGCGACATATGGGGGAAGGGCTACCAGATTGTGGCAAAGAAAATTGGCAGGAGAATAACGATTGCGATGACGGACGAGGAATATGTGAAAGCAGTCAGAGAGCTTTTCCCCGAACACCCGGCTCTAAGGACGGGACGAGTGGGCACGAACCGGGAGCAACACTTCCTACGAAGAAGGCTCCTGGCCCGGATTTTATACTCGCAGAAGTGATCAAGGCGGTGGCGATCGCCAAACCCGAAATATGGACGAAGATTGCAAACACAGCAATGGAGACGGGACTGTATCCAGAGGAATGGAAGAAAAGCATCCTCGTTACGATCCCCAAAGCAAATGGTGCCCTACGGCCCATTTGCCTCATTGACTTTGCCGGGAAAGTCCTGGAGAAGATCATCAAGGAGAGGATATTACGAGCAGGTGGGCGCCCGGCTATCACCGGAACAATATGGGTTCAGGAAGGGTCGGTCTACGATAGACGCTCTAAATCGTATAGTGGAGGAGGTGCGGGCGGCTAATAGTGGGACGTGGCGGACGAGGGAAGTGTGTTTGGTGACTTCTCTGGACGTGAAAAACGCATTTAACACGGCCTCCAGGGAAGCAATAGTGAGGGCGTTGAGGGATCTTGATGCGGAGGACTACATGGTTGAGCTTGTGCGTGGATATCTGACCAATCGTGTAGTGCGGGCCAGAAAACCTTCCGGGGAGAAATACGATTTCAACTCTAGTGCGGGAGTGCCGCAAGGGTCCGTCCTAGGGCCCTTGCTGTGGATAATAATGTACGATGGCGTGTTAAGGATTACCTACGAAGAAGGAGTAAAAGTGTACGGCTTTGCAGACGATTTGACTATTGTGGTGCGTGACAGGAGTTTGGGCGTAGCCCGGGAAAAGTTATCGAGTGCGGTGAGTGGAATTAGCAGATGGATGGAGACACGGGGGCTCACACTTGTACCTGAAAAGACTGTGGCACTTATGACGGGACGAAGAAGATTCACGGAGAAGGTAGTGGAGCTGCTGGGACAGCGTTTGATGGCTGAACCCATGGAGAAGTGGGACCAGAAACGCGTAATGGCAGAGTGGCAGTCGAGGTGGGAGAGCAGAAACTCCTGGACCCGGCAATTAATAAAGAGAGTCGATATATGGACTGGAAGGAAACACGGCGAGGTAGACTACCATCTTACCCAATTCCTTACCGGGCATGGTGAAAACGGAATCTATCTACACAGATTCAAGAAAAGGGGAAGCGATAGCTGTGTGGATTGTGGCGACATGGATAGCGCCGGACACGCCACAATGGAGTGCCCGCGATGGGCAAGAGAGAGACACGAGCTGGAGACAGTGCTTGGAAACCGGGTTACCGTAGATACCATCATAGAAGAGATGTTACAGACAGTAGAGAAGTGGCAGAAAGTGAAGTTCTTCATTAAGAAAGTTGTGTCCACGAGAGAGAAAGAGGGTCGTGAGAAGGAGAGGCACGCATGAGTGCGGACGACGACTAGCTAAACAAGGCGAGCAAGGATGAATAGACAGGATAGCGGAAACATCTAGGCGCAGGTTAACCGCGCCGGCCCAACATGGCCGAGAAGAATACGGTAAGGTGATGCCCGGCCTTGTTTACACCTGGCAGAGGAAAGGGTTTTAGTGGGTAAACCTCGAAAGGGAGTCCCACACACCCCCCGCTAAGACCGCAAGCGGGGGTAGTCCATAAAGGATTTCCTGAACCTCTATAAAAAAAAAAGTGCAAGTAATGCAAGAGGAGAAGGAAGTGAATTCATTAAAACGTACTGGCAAACTTAATACAAATACTGATAATAATTGGAGATGTCGGAATACGGAAGGAAATCAACCACAAGTAACAAGTAATAACCTGAGCAAGGAAAGCCGACATAAAGGAAGCACAGAGGGAAGTTATCTGTGTAAGAAATGCAACACTGTTTTAAAGCCTGAACTTGACAGTTTAACAAAATAACCACCAAAGTTAATATGGATCACCGATCAAATCTTGTCCACTCCTACATTAAAGCAAAATTTGAAGATGAAACGTACAGCCTTGAACATCTGGTTTAACAGCACCTGTCTTAAAGAAAATCTCATCCCCAATTACATCAAATTCTCAACCAACAACAAGTCTACTCGTGCAGCCCACGCAGTTTCGAAAGCAAAAGAATCTGGCTCAAAGAAGAGATCCAACACTGGTACCAAGTTAGAAACGAACTAAACCATTTCATATACGATTTGATGTGGTTGATGTAGTTTTTCGGTTAGTTATTCCTTCAGGGTTTCTTGACCTTTCACTTGCTCGGTCCTCTTCCCCCGTTTGGGCCTTTTACTTGTTCGATGTCGTACCGATTGTGGGTCGACCTCTCATTTTGTTGCTGTGTTCTTCGGTCGGTTGTTCCCTTCAGGACTCCCGATCTTTAAATCTTGCTTCAATTCTTCGTCCCCATCAGGGTCGATTAATTTTTAACTTGTATTATTAATATTTATAACATTTTGTAAGTTTTATCACTCTTGTGAGACAAATTTGTAATCGTACAACATTTTACGCCTGATGATGGCTTGTTAGCCGAAACATGTCGCATTACAATTAAAGATTATTCCAAGTGTATGGGGAAGGTTTTGTGTTCACTTCCTAATAATTATTTTACATATAAAGTTTCATTTAAATATATTCAATTCTTCATAAAGAAAAAAGTTAGCATTGCACATGCGTTAAAACAAATTTTTGACAGTGCGCATTCGCAAAACCAAAAAATATGGGTATGCACGGAATCCTTGGATCAAGCGCTTTCAAATGAGTCCTATATCGCCAAAATCGCTCAGTGGTTTAGAAGGAGTATATGAGACGGACGGACGGACGTCGAAGTGCAGCCAATAGCGATTTTTCACTTGGAGGAAAATACGCTAAAAAGGAGTGAGCTGTTAGATAACGTTGCGGTATATCGATCAAAGCTTTATGCGGGTTTCGATTTTACCTCTAAGAGAAAAGTAAAGAACTAAGTGGGTAAGACAAATGGTATTAGGTGGTGATATTCTAACGCATTCTTTATGGCCGTTTGCACGTCAAATTTAAGCTATCCAGATTAGGGTAACAGAACAAAATCCACGCAATTTGCGCAGCGCTTAATTATGACTGAAAAGAATGAATGAAATGAAACAATTGATTTTTCAGTCCCACTTACTTCTTTGGATTTACCATTAAATTTTAGTCTAAAATACTAAGCTTGCCTCGGTTCCCGAATTTTATTAAGTCTCTTCACGATAAGAGGATATAGTTAAAAGAGTAAACATTCTTCTAAACTAAATTCATTTCTATACGTGCCCCAGTAGATGTCCTTAAGACTTTAATATTGGAGATTAAAGGATTGACCTCACGTTCGCTATATGGTATAAATTGGTATTCCAGATGGAAACTGTTATAAACTTTTCGATTATTCTCTACGTACGCCGAGTATATACGTATTACGATCACAAATATCCGCGTTTCTAACTATTTTAACTTAGACACGCGGATATCAGACATAACTAATTTGATTTACAATGCTGGCAGTTTTGATGAAGTAAATAAATGACATCTGGCACTGCAAGTCAATTATTGTTACAACAATGGAAAGGAAATTATAATACAATTTACATAATCATTTTAATACTTCTCTACAACTCAAATTGTTATTCGGTATATTTTCGATAAAATCAGTCCTTGGTGATCTTATATTTGAAATGAGCTAGCTACATGTAGATTGATGATGCTGAATATTTCCATTACAGTCATGGTCACAGAGATTCTATCTTCTACAAAATAGTATAAAATAAATATTTTTAAAATACCTCTGCTCAATTTAGTTTTTGGTGTGAGTAAAGTAGGTAAGAATACGTTACGTTGTATTTTTCTTAATTACGAGTATATTCATGTTACACGACACGAGGCACCTAAAAGAAAACTCCACAAACGTGCCACATGATAAAATGCACCATTGACACGAATGTAAGAGCTTGTGTGTGGGTAATTTTCACAGCTTTCTAGGTACTTACCTTATCTACTGAAGTGCCGTCATTTTTAATAGTTATTTATGTAACGAATGCATATTCAAGATTTTGTCTACTTTTATAAATTGCCACTCTTTTCCTGTGTAGGGGATGATTGCACCTTATTGTGTTAACTCATCACTTTTGAGTGCCAACGTAGTACTTCATTAAACACTTTTACATAAATATTTATATACATATATATATATATATATATATATATATATATTTTTTAGAAGAAAAAATTTATAAAGTTTTGAAATTTTGGTTATGAAATCTCAGTAGGAACCTAAATACAGATCCGAAGAATTCCCACGTCTCCGGTGGGAGCTTCATCCCCTTTTGTCCAAAAAACCACCCCCAATCGTGACCTCGCGGTCTTTTTCGGGGATTTGCTCGTAAACCACAGCTTCTACGATAAAATATTGAAAGGACTTCTTATATTCTCCATTAAATTATCTATAAAAATGTACTCTACCGTTTTTTGCGTATCTCTCACCCAACGCTCGTAAATGACCTTAGAAAATAGGCATAATTTTCAGCGCGAAGAGAAAAATGAGCCAAGCGCAGTTTTTTCGTCGATTTTCTCTAAAACTATTAGTCTGAGCAAAAAAATGTAAAGAATCGAGATTAAAGAGCAGTTTTTTCTCTACAAAGTGCATATACACTAATATATTTGTGAACAAGTGTTAGTGTTCATATGAATACTTTCTTATATTTGTGAATTTGTACTTTGAGTCCGTTTCCACACCACCTTTGAGGTAGAGCTCTCGGCGCGATTCTTTTTACTTGGTTTCCTCTATAGGCCTATTCCACTGATAAAATAACGGGTGTCCCAAAATGAACGCAAGATTTGAATTTGCCGCCATTTGTGCGGTGAAGTGTTGGCAACCCTGAAAAAAAAGCAATTTGACAGCTAACAGTATAGGGTTATTAAAAATGGAGCGTTACACGATAGAACAACGTGTCTTCATTATTAAAGAATATTTAAAAAATAGTGAAAGCTTGGCGGCTGCAGTTCGAAAATTTCATACAAAATATGGTCGGAATAGTGTTCACATTCGAACGGCTTGTTTTTGGACGACCAGTGTGTTTGGCGTCTCCAACGGATCCAGTCTCCATGAATTTTTCAATTAATCTCTTCACAGTTGACGAAGTTAAAACACTATTCCGACCATATTTTGTATGAAATTTTCTAACTGCAGCCGCCAAGCTTTCACTATTTTTGAAATATTCTTTAATAATGAAGACACGTTGTTCTATCGTGTAACGCTCCATTTTTAATAACCCTATACTGTTAGCTGTCAAATTGCTTTTTTTTCAGGGTTGCCAACACTTCACCGCACAAATGGCGGCAAATTCAAATCTTGCGTTAATTTTGGGACACCCGTTATATCTTTTCATCAATTTTCCTCTGCAAAGTCGACGTCCTCGATCGAATTGAAACAACTTTGCCCATGACAACTAGAGCACATTGTGGAACAGCGCAAACAAACTTTGACACAGCTACATCGCTTTCCACACCCCTTTTTACAGCCGCAGGATATAAGCTGAAGAATTGAAGTTGGAGCTGGCGCTTCAGTCATAACCACTGGCATTACAATGTTTTTACTTTTTCTCCAGCCCCATTCAGTTGCAGTTAAAGTTTTTCTCTTCGCGCTGAGAGCTATGCTTATTTTCCAAGGTCATTTACGAGCGTTGGGTGGGAGATACGCAAAAAACAGTAAGATACATATTTATAGAGAATTCCATGGAGAATATAAAAAGTCCTACAACATTATTTCGTAGAAGTCGCGGTTCACGAGCAAAACGCCGAAATAGACCGCGAGGTCACGATTGGGGGTGGTTTTTTGGGCAAAAGGGGATGAAGCTCCCACCGGAGAGGTGGGAACTCCTCGGATATGTATTTGGGTCCCTACTAGGAGTTCATAACCAAAATTTCAAAACTTTATAATTTTTTTCTTCTATTCCTTGTTTTTCGAACTAACTTGCTTACACTATTAGGTGTAAAGGTATTGTAGTAGTACAGCTTCACATTGTGTAAAAATTTAACTTACTTTAATTGGTAGCTTGCAATCGTTTAGATTGGAGTATTCTAAAATGGTTTTGTAGGAGTTATGGCCAAACAACTTCCTTGCGTATTTGCAACATGCATCATACTGTTCTTTTTGGGAGTGGCAGCAGAAGTAAGTAAAAATTCTAATTTAATCTCAAAATCAGGACTGCAAACGAGTGCACTAACATTTTTCACTGTTAAATGTTCACTATAACTAATGCTTTGTATTGGAATATTTTACAGGATGAACCAGCAATAAAAGTAACCATACAAAAAATAGAAATTATTAGTGTCAATAAGGAATATGTACAAGAGGAACATGTAGCATTATTTCAATATAATGCTACCCATCAAGCAATTAATGCCTCGGGAAGATTGATGAAGGATCTTGGAATGCAGCTAGATGTAAACATAAAAAAAAATAATGTAAAATAATAATTTTGTCACGACGTAGGATAATGCCGATATATACACCATTGAAGATGGTGCCCCTCATCTGTTGACATCCGCGAAAGATATTCATATATGCGATATACTTAGCGGAGATTATCCAGAGTTGGAGCAGTTGTTTAAGTTTGGAAATTTTACTAAATGTCCAATGAAAGCTGTAAGTATATTCAAATATGAGCTAGAAAAAAAGCGATTATGAAACAAGTTGTAAATCAGCATATGCATGATGAAAGCACATTTTTGGTAATGCAGATCAGTATTTCATTAGCAAAGTTTAAAATTATCGATCTCACGAGTAATCTAACTCAAAATAGACTTAGAACCTGCACATCTACACTACATCAGAAAGCTTTTAGTGAAAATTTGAAGTCTAACTATTGTAATTGCTGATATCTCAGTCGCACAGCCAGCCAGCCATAACGAATATAATAGCGTATTGCTAAAAATTGTAAGAACTCGTAACGCATGAGCAACAAAATTTGAATTCGGGGAAGGTCGTGCAAATTTTAGGTCACGTCTAATATTAATTAGGTTGACAGCTCGCGTTCAAAGGTGACATTAAAAATAAACCACAATTACACATGACCGATATGTGTATCTCCCTCTTTCAGGGGCAACACGAGTCACTTTTTTGTTGATCATACCTTATAAAGGCCGCACAAAATGTCTTTAGTTTAGAACCTGGTTAGCACATGAATGCCTATTTCACATCACATTCTCGCATTTTACTTTTTTGAATTCGACATAATATCGCACTATAAATTTTAGGGATTCTATGCAGGGGTAAATGCTATAGTGGATACCAGCTCCGTTCCTGCTAGTGTACCCAGAGGCGAATTTATAATAGATGTTAAAACCTCCAATGGTCCAACTGAAATTCTGCATACCAAAACGTTTCTTAAAATTGAAGATGTTCCAGTAAAGAAAGCTAAGTAAATAATAGTGGTGACAATGTATTCGATTGGTAATGGGTGATAATAAATAGCTATAATGAATCATTGCTCCCGTTTTCATTAATACTAGCATTGATAACTACTGTAAAGGGTCAACCCTTTCCATTATCTACCGCTTCAGGTTGTGAAGGGTTTACAGGCCCCATGGTTAACCTTGAATAGCTTCGAAATGTTATATATATATATATATATATATATATATATTTATTTAAAATCAAGTTGCTATGGGTAATATTCATGATACAAAGAATACAAGATAGGATATTGCGCAGCTGTCAGAGAGTGGGAAACTTGAGCGTGACGTCACGCGGTAAGTTACCCTACTACTGATACGGTGCTTCATGCTTGTCTCTATGATCATATATCTTGCCGTATAGGTCTATCTCAGTCTTGCGTCAGGACGTACTGCAAAATTCCATTTATTCCCAAAATTATGACCATATCACTATGTAATGTAAAGAATTTCGATAGTTAAAAGACAATCAACGAAACGAAAGTCGATTGACTTATTACAACATTAAAACAGTTAAATATGTGTCGCGCACTTCATAAAACAACAAGGATTCACGTCCATGAGCTTGCCAGGCCTACTACGGCAGACCATGGTTCTGCTTACTCATATTGTTAGTGTTCCGTTAGTGCCGCTGAAGAAATCGTTAGTGCACAAAAGGAAACTATTTATAAAAAAAAATTTGTGGGCCTGCTAACTTCATGCCAGCAGACTCATTTAAGAAAATCGATGCAATCTTTACACTCCTTAAACTAGCAGCGTTAGTGCTCGTTAGTGCCACCAATATAAACGTTACTGCTCAAAGTGTAACAGCTCAAAACGTTGTAAAAAGGGGTCTGCTAACTTCATGCAGCAGACCCACATTTGTCAAATTGGCTCTGTCCTAATGCGAATTTAAAGCAGCTCGTTAGTACTTCACATTCGAACGTTAGTGCTGCAAGACATCCTCACCCAAAAGGTACCAAACCACCTCAAAATTAAACGTGGCTTATTGGGACCTGCCATCTTCACGCCGGTATACCAACAAACGAAATCCGTTTGGTTTTCTACTTTAATCGATCAGTATTAGTGATCGTTAGTGTTGCAAAAAAAAGCGTTAGTGCTCAAAGCGCAACCGCTCAAAATGTGAAAATATGAGTTTGCTTTGTGAAAAACTATATAACGATTAAATTAGTGATGTCTTTATTAGCTCTGGTTTCTATTTCTATTTTCATATTTTGCATTTTATAATATGCGAATTTTGGTATGATTTGTTTTTAATATACTGATACTAGTACCTTTAACTCAATAAAATATTTTAAAGAATTTTCAGTTTCATTATCTGTTTAAAAGCAACCATTTCGCCAACCAGTTTGTGAGACCGCGAGACCGCTACTCGGGGATAAAGGGATTTTCGGTAATGTCGATGGTTAAGGGTTAACCTTTACGATTCTTGATTAAAATGTGAATGAAGCACTAACGAGCCGCTTCAAATTCGCATTAGGCCAGGGCCAATTTGACAAATGTGGGTCTGCTGCATGAAGTTAGCAGACCCCTTTATACAACGTTTTGAGCTGTTACACTTTGAGCACTAACGTTTATATTGGCGGCACTAACGATGCTAGTGTAAAGAGTGAATCGATTTTCTCAAATGGGTCTGCTGGCAAGAAGTTTTTTAAAATAGCTAAGTTTCCTTTTGTGCACTAACGATTTCTTCAGCGGCACTAACGGAACACTAACGATATGAGTAAGCAGAACCATGGTCTGCTGTAGTAGGCCTGCCAAGTTCATGGACATCAAGGATTCAGATGTAAATTTTCACACTATGATAATTACATTACGGGTGTTAATTTTAATCAGGGAGAACGATAACATTCAAATAATAAACGCTAAAATAGTAGTTACAAATGTTTATTGAACGTAAATATCACAATATACGTACCTGCGTACAGAAACTAAGTTACGATTTTTCTAAATTTTCTTTTGCGAGATTGACAATCATCCCGCAAACCCGCGTTTAATTGCCGTATTCTAAAATACATCCTGGAACGAAAAAAAAGTGTTTTTATTTCATACTATCTAGTAATCGCCGCTTTCCCAGACTGATTTGAGTCTGGTAAATCGTATTTTACCAGACTTGAAAATTTTTACCAGACTGGAAATTTTGCCTAGCAACCGCAACTGACATCCGTCTAAACGTATGCATTGATATTTGTCAAACTACTGTCAGATCAAACAAATCAAGTGATCAACTTTTGCTTTTATTTTAATGTGTACCTACAACATTCTAATCAAAATGGTATTTTAATAGGAATAGAGCAGTATGAAATAATAGTTATTTACATTATTAGTGCGGGAACAGTTATTTTGAAGATGAGCGCGAAGTTTGGTGTGTCAATTTATTGTTCAAAACTTCTAGTTTAAGCTTATTTTTGCCCCTGTACTACAGGGAATTATGTAAAGTGTATTTATATTTTCTTTTTTTACTCTTCCATCATACTACTTTGTAGTTTATGATTCGCACTAAATAGATAATTTCGTTGAATTTTTAGGCACTAGTGCGCGAAAGTAGATAGTCAATTGTAAAATTGACGTTCCCGACGTTCGTGTTTTATTGGGAAAACGCGATTTAGAACGAAGGAGTGCAAAAAATGTTTTACATTTGTATGTCAAATCAGTTTACGTTACTCGTTTCGAAATTCCTGCCTCAGCTACGCTTCGGCAGTAAACATCTCACTCATTATCGTAAACATTGATTTACCATACTCATATGTAAATAACTATTATCGTATCGCTACAATTCACATAAACTGATAACGACAACAAATTTTTTAAATAGTTTTTGGTCACAAGCAGACTATTGGAGCTAACCAACGTGAAAACATCTGGGGGATGTCCTAACCTAACCCTTTTTTTTTATACAGAAGTGGAAATCTTTAATAGACACCAAGCGCCTTAGGTTCTATCGGCGCAAGGTAGTGTGAGAATCTCCTCCCCGAAGGTCGGCCTACCCACTAAAACCACTCCCTGGCCAGGTCTTCTTGCTGGGTAGGAACGCACTAGGTGTGCTCACTTCTACCCAGCGGGCCACGTTTTCTCTATCACCTCACTCCCTCACCTCAAACAGCTCCCCTCCCCTGTCGTTCGCGCTCGTCCTTCTCTTTCTGAGCGAACAAGTCTCCTAGCGCTCCCACCACTCTCGATCAGCGTGGAAGGTGACAGCCGTCTCCCCCCCGCCACCGCAAAGATCCTGCCCCTCTGAATCTCCCACCTTTCACAGTGAAAGAGCATGTGTTCCGCCGTGTCCACTTGCTCACAGTACATACACCGACTGGACCGCCATTTCCCGATACGGTGCAGGTAATCCCCGAAGCATCCATGTCCGCTGAGCGCCTGCGTCACATAGTACGTGGTGTACGTGTGATCGCAGTCGATCCAGCGGCCTACCTCGGGGATCAGCTGCCTCGTCCAGGAACCCCTGATCTCTGCGGCCCAGCCCTCCTGCCACATCTCCATAGTTCGTACCCTAGCCTCTCCCCTATCCTGCGCACCTCGGAACACCCGCTCTCTCTCTCCAGGGCCAAGAGATCCAGAGGGATGGTCTTCGCGATGACGTTCGCAGCTGGACCCGATACGGTGCGGTACGCGGAGGCCACCGCGATACAGCACGTTCTCTGGAGAGAAAGAACCATATCGCGGTATTTACCTATCCTCATGGCCTCGCACCATATCGGGGCCCCGTACATCAGACTCGACGTCACCACCCCCGCTAGCACCCTCCTCTTCGCGTGTGACGGGCCCACCACATTGCGCATCAAGCGCCCCACGGCTACCATCGTCCTCCCCGCCTTCCGGACCGCTCCCGCGACATGGTCCCCCATCAGGAGTCCCCTGTCGACGACCACCCCCAGGTACTTGACCTCCCTCTGCGGGACAAACTCACTCCCCGCGATCCCAATCCACAGTCGAGTTGATGGCCGGTGCCTGCCCAGCATGGCAATCGTGGTTTTCGCCACTGCCATGCCAAGCCGATTCCGTACCATCCACTCGCCCACCAACTCTGCCGCCCGCGCCCCTCGGGAGTTCACCTCTTCCTCACTACCCCCCTCTACCCAGAGCGCCAGGCCGTCTGCGAAGCAGATAGGTAGGACTCCGATCGGAAAGGGGAGACAGAACGTCGTCGTACATGACGTTCCACAGCGTCGGCCCTAACACCGACCCCTGCGGAACACCGCCGAAGACGCTCCGCATCACCTCCCTCGTCACCTCCACCTTCCTGCCCCGCAGATAGTCCCCGACCACTCTGAGCACTCCCGCGCTCACCCCCTTCCCGCGCAACTTATCGATGATGATGCTCCACGTGGCGGTATTAAACGCGTTTGCCACGTCGAAGCAAATGAGGACACCCCATTTCGGCGCCCCCCTACCCCTTCCCGTCCTCCGTGCACGATCCACGATCTCCCGGATCGCGTGCACTGTGGCCCCTCCTGAATCCGTACTGTCGCTCGTGCAACCCTCCCCCTGCCTCTATATCGGCCGACAGCCTCGCGCCTATGAGTCGCTCATAAAGCTTCCCATAGACGTCCAGGAGACATATCGGTCGATACTTTCTTTCTCCCCCCGGACCCGCCCTTGGCTTCTCGGCCAGCACCAGTTTCGCCCTCTTCCACCGATCCGGGAACCTACCTCGCCTCCATAGCTCGGAGTACATCCTCCGCCGCTATTGCTATTTTGACAAGGCTCGGTATGATCCCGTCCGAACCTGGTGCTTTCCCGGCTCTCACGCCCTTAACCGCCCTCGCCAGTTCTATGGACGTAAATCCCCCCCCCCCCATCCTCCATCATTTCCCCCTTAGTGATGGGGTCTCCTCCTCCGTCGTCACTCCCCTCCCAGATGAACAGGTCCTCGAAAAGTCGTATCCGCCTCTCCTCAGACAGGTCCACCCTGGGATAGGGAGCTTTCAAACCCCCCATCACTATCTTGAAGGCCTGGCCATATGGGTCCCTGGCCAGATCCTCCAATAGACTCTTCCAC